CCCAAGAGCTGGAGAGGTGACTGGGAGCAGCGCGTGCCTGTCGCCTCTGCTGCGCTGTGCTCCTGCAGAGCTCTCGAAGAAGCTGCGGCTGCTGCTCACCACCCTCTGCTTTTTGGGGAGGGCTGAGGGCTGTACTGGGGGCTTCTTGTTGCATGAGGTCTCCCTTCACGCTGGGTCCTTATTAGCTGCCTCTGCATTTCCTTCCTCCTGCACAGCACCTTTCCACCTCTTCTTTAAAACTGACCCCCAAGCCTTCCCCAGCGGAGGGAGGGAGGAATGACAACTGCCCTAACGCCCTGCTGTGGCGAGAGGGGATCCACTCTGGATTTCAACACCCCAGGGAAGGCGGGGGATCTGATTTCTGGGGTTTGCTTCTGTCTGCAGGCATGGACACTCCGCTGGAGAGCAGGAGGCTCCGCGGCGCAGGAGAGCGAAGGGCTGAGCTGCTGGGCTGGGTCTGCGTCGGGGTTTGCCGCAGGGAAGCTGTGTTGGGCTGAATGGGTCAAGTTCCCCGGCTGGGCCATCTACCAGATGAAACTGAGACCTGTTGGCCGCCCTGGCAGCACAGGAGGCCTCTTCCTGCGCGGTGCCGCGTGCTCCCAGAGACCAAGGGCACCCGGCACTCGCCAAACTTATGGGCCAGCTTTCCAAGGAAACACAGAGCCACACAGGTCTCCGGTTCCTGCTGGAATCGTGGAGCCGGGGGGAGAACAACAGCTGGGCAAGGCACTGGAAAAAGAAATCCAAGGGAAGGTCTCTCTTCCCCTGAGCAGCACAGGATGGGCCATCCCTCTCCAAAACCAGATCACCGGCTATGCGAGCCACACCAAATCCAGCCCTGACTGCTGTCGGAGCTTTTACCCCTAAAGCGGGGAGAAATCCCCTTCAGCTCCTCGAAAGGGAACATAGTGCCACGGGCAACCTGAAAAGCCTGGAAAGGAGATGGAGGCCCTGGAAAGCTCCCTGTCCCTTCCCAATCATCCAGCAGCTCCACGAGCAGCCATGCGTTTGCCTGGCTGCCGTTCGCCGCTTGCCCATCTCCCACCACGGGTCTCTGAGCAGCACCGAGGGGAGCTGCTGCTGGCAGTGCCCCCCCGAAGGGGCCTGCGCCGCCCATCTGTCTGCTCCAGAGGAACCCGAGGTGCTCCGGAGCAGCAGCCGTGCTTGGCACGACCGTGTCGGCAACATGCTGACTCCCCAGCGCCCATCGCTCCCGGGGAGGGCAGGACTGACCCAAGTGAGCGCCAGTCCCCCGGTGCCAGCCTGAGTGTTGGGATCGCTGGGCAGGGCCTGGCGCCCCGGCTCTCCCGGCAAACAGCCAGTCCTGGTGCTTCCCTGGCTTCTGGGGGCTGCAGCCTGGGAATAACCCCAGCTCCTTGGACCTGGCGTGGATGGGACTGGGTGAGAAAGAAGAATCACTGGGAAGTAAACAGGGGAACTGGGAATACTGTTCAGCTGGGTGCTGCTCCTCTGGCAGCCAAGATGCTCTGCTCTCCCAGCTCTTCCCAACCGGCTGTTCTGGAGCAAGAGACCCCAGAGATCAGCTGGTCCCTGGAGAACCGCGTGTGCCCGTCGCAGCCGAGGGCGTGATCATCTCCCGATAACCTGGCGTGCTGTGCAGCGTAAAGAACAACCTGACTTCTACGTTTTCAACCAAACTCCGGGGTAGTTTCTAAGCAACCTGTTTCCATAGCAAAGAATCCTGGGGTTAATCCAGGCTTGTTTTCTGTCGTTGCCTTTTTTTTTTTTTTTAATTAAATATGATGTTATTGAATTCTTCCTCGTGCAGGTGGCTGCTGTAGCATACACAGACTGGGAGCGACAGCTGCCAGCAAGGATCCAAGACACTACCTGAACCAAGAGGTATGCTGCGTGATCAACCGGTACCTAACAACGTCCAAAAATACTCCTATTGGTTCCAGTTGTGCTGAATGACTATTCCACCAGCACGGAGCAGAGCGTGGCTGCCCTGCTGCCCTGGCTTCTCCCCAGCTCCGAGCAAAGCCGCGCGCAGCACGGGCTGCAGAAGGACAGGCATCCTGCTTCAGCAGCTCTGCTGAAGGTTTCCCTGGACACAGCTCAGCGCAGGCTTCCGAAAGGACTCGGGAAAGTACTTCTGGCTCCTGGAAAACCCCCTGTTCCTACCCAGGCTGTTGACCGAGAGGTCAAATGGTAAAGCCCCACCGGCTGGAAACACTTATTAGGAATGGGGCCTGAAGGTCAAGCTGCGCGAACACAGAACCGCCTGCGAGGTGCAGATGCAAGCTAGGGACACCTCGGAACCCCTTTTCCTTCCAAGGGGTGCTTTATCCCCAGTGTGAGCAGCTTGTCAGGGATGGTGTAACTTAGTGAGCTGACGAGAAGCGCCGATTTACGTACCCTGCCTTCCAGTTTACCCCTCTTGCCCCTGCCTTGTTCCCAGTCTTGACCCCGCGCCGCTGCCCTTTCACCCCCTGCAGCACTGGCTTATTTTCACAGACAGCACCGCTGGATCCAGTGCTCCCGTGCCTTCCGGAGCTCCTCTTCAACACTGCTTTCCCAGATCATACTTCCCTCCTAGGATCCTCCCAGCAGTCACCTTACAATAAAGCCTACTGTCCCACCTTCTCTTCCTCAGACGCGCTGGAGGCCGTTCTTCCCAAGGGTCTATTTCTGCCTGCCGAGTGTTGCCTGAAGCTGCAGTTACAGAATTCACTTTACTCCCAGTGGCTCACCCAGTAAAACCAAGGGGTCCCACAACTGGGATTAAGCAGCCTCCTTGGGGCAGGAGAACATCCCTGGAAGCCAGCCAAACCCACCTGCTGCTTTCTTCTTTCTTTTTCTTGTGGCTCCAGCACCTTGGCCAAAAACTCCTGCCTAGCCGTTCGCATGTCTACGGGATCTAGTGGAAGGTGTCCCTGCCCGTGGCAGGGGGTGGGACTGGGTGGGCTTTAAGGTCCCTCCCAACCATTCCATGATCTTCACTTAGTGCAGGGAGTTATTGGAGCTGAAACTTTGTCAGGCCTGACCTTGCTCTTGGCAGGTCACAACTCATGAGCTGAGTAAGAATCCAGGAAGCTGAGCACAGGCCAGTTGGGAATCAGCTTGGCATATTGATTTATCCTAACACCTTCTGCCTCGTGTGATTTCTGCGGTGACAACGCTGAGTTATGTGACATGCGTCGGCGCTTGTGCTGTGGCCGAGTTCTGGTCCAGCTGGCTTTAGAAGCACTTAAGATGCAGATTTTTTTCACGTATTGGGCTGACAACATCGCCCTTGCCTAGATGGGAAGGGTCTCATGTGTCAGCCCATCTGCAGGATTCCTTTCGTGCCCATGGAGAGCAAGAAGGACCGGAGCTTGCTGGAATCTGGCAGAGGAGCAGCTGGAGAAAGGAAACCGAAGTACAGCTGAGATGTGATTCTCATCCTGGTGCTGGAGCCAACCGGGATGGTGCAAACCAATCTGGGCTCTTCCAGGCTGAAGCCCTGTATCGTGCGTACCACAGCTAAAGGCGACTGCGCCACGTTTAACTGATCCACCCAGGCTCTGCGACCAGGGACCAGGCGGCACGAACCAAACCCGACGCTACCTGTGCTGCCGCCTGCAAGGCCAGCGCCAGGCCGGGCGCGACCCGCGCCTCTGCACACGCGTGGGTGCGGCCAACTGCTGCCCTGAACAGACATCACAAGCACAGTTCAGTGAAACATGGAATGTGTGGCACGGGGGGAGCAGCGGAAGGTGGCATTTTTCCCTTAAAATGGGACAGAAATACTATTCAGGAGGAAAACATTCCTTGCCCTGAGCTTTCCTGCCCTTTTTTCCAGTAGCATCGAGCTTCCCCCGCAGTAGGGCTCCGAACAACCCCCCCACGCCATAGGGCTCACCCAGTACTTCCCCCCGCCCCTTGGCAGAGTGCTTCGGTAACGATTTAGGAGCTCAAGATTCCAACTAAACCCTGTTGTCCTGCTTTCTGTTCCGGCACCGCCCGCACAGACGCGCGCTCTGCTGCGTTACGGGCACGCAAGCCGCGGCGAGGAGCCCCTCTGCAGAACAAACGCTGCCGAAGCCTGCTGCGACGCAATAAAAGCCACCGAGGTAAAAATAAACCCCCGCTCAGCAGCGCAGGAATAAACACAAAGGTATGGCTGCGGCTTCTGAGCGCGCTCTGCCTCTGAACGGCCGCCCAGGCACACAAAAGCCCTTCCCGCCCGCAGCCAGGGAGGGCTGCGCTCAGGGGAGAGGGAACAGGACGCTCCCTTCTCAGCAGCCTGCCCTCTGGAATCAGCAGTGCCCCCGGACCTGCTCGCCACCTCGGGAGGGTTGGCCATACAGGAAGAGGGGGGCTGTGACCCTCGTCCTGCAGCAGAGCCACACGGCTTTATTCCCTTTCTGCGTTCTGTAACCGGGCTCGTTACAGAAACGACGATTTCGTGCGAAACGCACGAAAATCTCTGGCCTCATTTCCAGGTGACAACGTATGACAACAGCGATTTCTTATCCTGACAGCAGGAACATGCTGAGCAGGATTTTGTACACCAGGCAGCAGAGTATGTCTGTCAACACTTCACAGAGCTGATGTGTGTTCACCTAAACTGCTTGTGCTCTTTTAACCTCCCCCAGCCTCCTCTGAGAAGCCTGGGGCCAAGACTGACAGCTTCCCAAACAAACTCCAGTCCACCCGGCAGCGCCTGGCTTGACGCGATCCCGGGAGCCTGGGGAAAACGGAAGGACAGCAGGAGTGAATCCCCCAGCCTGCAGAAGGTATGAAGAGATAAACTATGGGATGCCTGGCACATCCCCTTGCACAGCTGCCTTCCCTCCGCGGTTCTGTGCCGCCGGTAGGCCGAGCGCCCTGCGTGTTCTAGCGCAGGAGGCGGGTTAGAAAAAGCAAGTGACACATCCTGCCCTGTCCCCAAACGCACCGAAAGTCAGCTGCCACCTGCGGGCAAGCCAAGCTCTGCGGGTGGTAACTGCTACTTCACCAGGGACAGGGGTTGACTCCCATCAGAGCCCTGCTGGACCGGACTCTAACGAGCCGGAGGGAGGAATGGGAAAGGTGCAAAAGGACGGGGTCACTGTGCTGCCTCTGTCCCGCATCACCTGTACACCCGGGGCGCCCGCATTCCGGAGCCATTACCTCTGTGCGGCTTCTTGCAGTCTCACGGGTTGCTTGGCGCTGAGGTAAACCAGACAGGCATCCGCCACCTTGGCCAGGTCGCTCTGCCCTGCAGAAACGGCACAGAAGAGAGGGGCAGGAGATAACCACCTGCTGCTGCGGCACGGATCCGCTCCAGACCAGCCTCTGCACTGTCTGCCCCAGAGATCTTCTGACCTCGCCGCTGGAGCGTCTCGCGGCAGAGCTCGGAAAGCCATGGAGCACTGGGAGAGGAACAGAGCAACGAGCCGGCAAACCCCTCCCTCATCAAGGCTAGCTCCAGAAACTGAACCCAGCACGTTTCCTTCCGTGGACGCGGTGTGCTGCACTTCAAGGGTCACCCAGAGAGACGCCCCAAAATGGAACCAGTCAAGTCTTATCTGGGCTCCAGTCCTTCAGTGAATTATGAACGAATGCTGCCGCCCAGGCACTCCGTACCCGCTTCTCACGCACTACGGGATGAGCAGGCGGATTCTGCAAGGCGCTGGGAATCTTCACTCCCCTTTGTCTCCTGGGGAGTAAAGAGTGACCAACCCCTCCATAGTCTCAGATTGGACAGACTAAGGCCCAGCACGACTGGACTGGGATGAGGCCAGAGATCAGGAAACCGATCCCTCAGAGCAGCAGAAGGACAAGGAGCAAGCGCAGGCCTGGCCGGTGGAGACAAAGGTAAGCCCGGCAGAGAGCCCGTACGCCCCCCGCTTGCCCTGGTACTCACCCATGTCCAGCTCCTCGCACAGAGCGCCCAGGCCCTGCAACACGGCCAGCTGCAGCTTGAAGGCGAGCGTGTGGCTGTCCACAGGCCCGGCCCTGGCGCTGGCGGGGGCCTGGCCGAGGAGCGAACCGGTCAGTTTGGGCAGCACGTCTCTGGAGAACCTCTGCCGCAGGAAGTCCCCGCAGTGCTGAGCCAGGGTACACAGCACCTGGCAGAGAAACTTCAGTCACCCGAGGGCGGGCAGGGAGGGGCCTGGGGGGAGCTCAGCATCTCCCTGGCTTGGGTGAGGCACTCATTCCCCCTTGGTGATCTTCTGGGGGTTGAGAGCCATGTGGCCACACCTCCCACAGCTTCCCTGAAGGAGCCAGAGGGTGAGTGCTCGCGGGAGAGGCCGAGGGGCCTGCACCCCACTCTTCAGCTTCCCACAGCTAACCTCCCGCCGCCGCCCTTTGCCCAGCGGCCCCGGAAAGGTGGGAGTAGTGTGTGAAGCCTCACTGGGAATTGCTGGAGGAGCCTTTGAGAGAAGATGCCATGAAAATATCCATCACCTTTGTGGTGGAATCTCAGCAGAGGAAGCCCTGTGAAACTCTGGGGCTGGCAACATCTGGAAACATGTTTTATTGTCCAGCTTGTGGGTCAGGAAGAGACTGCAGTGAGCTGAGATGGTCAGGAGCTCCTTAACCGCGTCGTTACGAGCTTAAGTCTTCGCTTAACCCCTCCCCTGCCAATGCCTCGATCGCGAAGGAACCCCTTCAGTCTAGAACTCCCACAGAGGGGTGCTGAGACTGTGGCTCCAGCAAGGGCGAGTTGCACTACCCAGTGCCCCTGACAGCTGCTCAGGCTGTAACAGAGCTGTTTTCCTCCTCCCTGCCTGCAACAACTACTAATCCTGCTGTTCCCCTGAGCTCAGTGTTAAGGTTTTATCTGTGGACAACTGTGGTGGGAGCAGCACAAGCCTACCCAAGGCAGGGCGGTGAACCGAGCTGCCATCTGCATTTAGAATCGCTCCATGAGCTCAGCGCTTCTCTCACGGGCCACTGCGATGTCTGAGCCACCAGCCCCCTGAGCACCGGCCCGCAGGCTGCGGGCAGAGATTGGCTGCTGTACCTTGAAGGCTCTGAGCACTGCCAGAGGGTCATCGCTAATCAGCCGGGTGACGAGAGCGGGCCAGACACGATGAGCCATGGGAAGCAGATGGTTTCCGTGAGGATGCAGCACAGTTACACAGAGCTCCAGCACGTCCAGGACCTGGGCAGGAGGAGGTAGCAGGCTTTCAGAGCGCTGCAGGGCCAGCAGCACCAGGCGTGCCGGTGGGTCCCAGCGTCGCGCCAGGGAGCCAGGAGAAAGACGGGGTTTAACAGGAACGGGTACGGATCTACTGCCATGTTCCCTGGGATAACTGACCGGTGCAGAGAGCACAAGCCTGTCCCCACGTGACAAGTGGCACAGTGACATAAGGGGCTGGGCTGGGGCACAATTCCCGGCCTGCTGCTGCAGGCTGAGCAGCGCACTAGGACCCCCCAGCTCCCGTGGCACGGCAGCAGGATCACCTGCTGGGGCTGGGCCTCTGTGGCAAGAATCTGGGTTATGCCTCACTGCTGCATTTTCTGTCTCGCTCTGCAGTTTTAAAGGAGGCCACCTTCAAAGGATTTTCATAATTAAAAAAACCCAGGCTTCTAGCCCTGCTTATCATTGCCCCAGCAACTTCCGAAACGTTCATCAGTCTGTGCGCTACGGGCTGAGGAAGGGGGATGGGAGGCCTAGATGGGAGAACGAGGCTTCTGCTTCCCCCACCAGCAGCTGAGGCACAAGGCTACCGCCAGCAGCAAGGGAAGGTGCTCGATGCAAAGCCAGCCTGGCTGCCATTCAGAGGGCAAGGGAAAGGCAGAAAGCTCTCTGGGAGCCAACCCTTGGGGGGTCTGTCTGGAAGCAGAACCTCGTTACAGCAGGAAGCCCCACGCGCATCTGCGCACACTGACGAACTCCCACCCCCTCCACGGGCACCCCCTGGCCCCTCGTGGCCAGCCCTCACTGACCTTCAGCCGCACCCGGAGGTTCCCGTCAGAGAGCAGGTGGATGCACCTCTCCATCACGTCCTTGGCCAGCTGGGCATGGCTGGGCAGCGGGGGGTCTCCCTCTGAGTCAGGGCTGTTTGGTTTAGCGAGGGGGGGAACCTCATCTGGAAGAGAAACCATTGCTGAAGCTGTGAAAAGGGCTCGGGAGCTCTGGGAGATTGCAACACATACCCACAACTGCTCTGGGAATTCCCAAGCGAGGCCGCTGGCCTTTCTGAGGAGCTGTGGGTACAGCCAAGGCTGCGCCCGCGTGCTGCGCATTAAGCTCGGTTCAGAGCGTGGGGCTAGGGAAGGCTCGCTTTCCCGACTGGACGATGCAGCTGGTCTGACATTTGCAGCCTCTCCTCACCATGGACTTATTTCCCATTGATTTTTATTAAAAATGAAAAGCCTGGGTATTTAAAGATGAAGTATTTAAAGGTCAGGGTTGCAGCACAGCCCAGTAAAGACTAGAAGGTTCCCTGTATGGCTGCCTGCTGAGGCCAAGTGAGAAGGGAGTGGTGGCATCATTCACCAGGAGAAAACGGTACAGGGATTCCTGAGGGAGAGAGAGGAAAATGCAGCAAGATCCCAGAAGGAGGAAACTCTGGGTCCTGAACCCAAATGGCCTGTTGTGAGGTAAGGAAAAACGCACTGTGTTTGTGTCTGAGAGCCAGACAAGCCTCGGTCTGCAAAGATCTTGCTTCCCCCGCCTGCCACGTGCAGAACAACGCACAAACGCCCGGCAGCACCTCACGTGATGAGAGCTCGGCTCGAAGCAGACCTGAGGCGTCGTGAGCCTGGCCTCGAGCCCCCCATCTGACAAAAGGAAACCTCAGAGGTCTCCGTCTTCCCTCCAAGTTGACCGTACTCCTCCCCAGCCGCGGACAGCACTGACCTGTCTCCTCATCCCCCGCCTCGGGAAGATTGCCCTCCGCGATCTGCTTCTGCCTGACGTAGTCCAGAAAGAATCGCTCCACGTCCTCCCTCATCGCCGCCGGCTGCCCCTGGGCCGAGGTCCCGCTCTGCCGCCGTCGGCGTTCCTCGCCGCAGGATGAGCCAAACCACCGGACTGCAAGAGAGGAACTGAGAGGTCACAGCAATCCCTGGTGCAGGCCAGCCAGGTACCACAGGTTCCTTCAGAGACGAACGGGGCACGTCTCACAGGACTGACCTGCGGAGCCAGGCACCCGCTGCCACCTCGCCGTGACCTCCCAGACGCCCCCACGTAAAAGGGAATACACTCCGTGTGTTCCTACAGAACACGCATAGGAGTAGCAAATCCATCCCTTCTCAACCACTAAGGCGTGTTCCTGCACGTCTGCAGGCCAGACAAACCGGCTGTGGAGAGGGGGCGCTACGGGTGACCTCTGAGAGCTGGTCCTCTGAGCCACCGCAGCCAGAGCTGCAGCCCCTCGGCTCCCCCGCGGCAGGTCGATGGTGGGAAAAGTGCCCGCGGTTACAGTACGGCCGACACGAGATACCTAGAGCTGTCACGACTGAGTGGAGGACGCCGAGGAAAGCAGAAGCCTGGTTATTGTAAGACTGATCTAGCGTAGACAGGACATCCTGGATCACGTCTTCCACCAGTGGCAGTAAGCTGGCGTCGGAATGCTTCAGCATAGTGTCCAGGACCTGGGAGGCACGTGGCTGATGCGCCAGCTGGCGCAAATTGAGGGAAATCCCATTCACCAGGTAGTCAGAATTCTCATTAATCAAACGCTGCAAGGAGTCGTAACCGCAGGCCTCGCACATGTCCGCCAGCGTCCCCAGTGCCGTCTCGCTGATGAGCAGCGTCTTGTCGCCGGCCTTCTCCAAGACGGGGTAGAGCGCCGAGAGCAGAAGCAGCCGGAAGTCCTTTCCCAGGACAGCAGCGAAGCAGCCAACGCCTTCCAGCTGGATGCAGATCTGCCAGATGTTGCTGTTCATGGTGCGGGCGGTTACCTGCGGCTCTGGGGACGGAAGGAGGATGCTGCTGCACACGCCTCCGGGACGGGCAGTAAGTCCTGGACGTTGTGCGGAGTCCTCACGGCTGACTTCTTCTGCATCAATGCTAGTGGTCAGGTACCAGTTCGCCTGGTCTGTGTACTCGTCGAGGATGGACACGATGGACGCTTTGAGATCATCTACATCCAGCAGAACTTCCCGTTCCTGAAGAACATCCACTCCCACCCCAGCGGCTCCTGCAACCAGCTCATTGAGGACCATCGCCGCCTGCTTTCGGTACAGGCCAGACTCCCCGTACAGCCCCATGAAGTGATCCACCAGCAAGTAGATGTTCCCATAGTAGCCAAGAACACGGCAAACCTGCTGAAGGAGCTGGAAAACTTTCTCCTCCGTGAAGAAGCGGAAGTATTTCTTCTGACATCGGCCCTGCAGCAGACTGCGCTGCACGGAGCCCGCGGGGATGCACGCACCCTCGTCGCCCCAGCGCCTGTCCTCCACAATCTTCACGTCTGTCACGTCCAGCTCCAGGACCTGCATCAGCGCTTTGGAGAGCCGGTGGAGGTGGGACACGGAGTGGAGGACGATGTTAACCTTGGGGCCCAGCAGCTTCAGGTAGCCCAGCAGCAGGCTCAAAGTGGAAACCTTGCCTGCGTCATCCTGAGAGTTCATCAGGCGAGGAAGAGCTGTGGCAAGGGAATGGAGGTTCTCGGAGAGGACGTCAGCGAGAGCCCTGCTCTGTGCTACGATCCTCTGCTCTGCGATGCCACGCAGAACCTCGTTACACCTGCTCTGGACTTCGCTGTTTTCATCGTTCACCAGCCCAACCACGGCCTTCAGAAGGTCACTGAACGAGTCCACCAGCGACTGACTGCAGCTCCGCAGCAAGTGGTGGACCAGTTCCACCAGCTCTAGCCTCACCTTCCAGTGGGGGTGAACCGAAGAAAACTCAACCAGTTTATGCAGGAGGAGGCAGAGTTTTTGGGCAGTACTTTGGCTCCACTCAGGTCCCCTGTGGATCACTAGTTCCGGTATTTTACTTTGTTCCACTGGCAGCTTTTCTTTGCTCTTTGGGACTCTGGCTAGCTGCTCATCAGCCATTACCAAGCCAACAATCTGATAAAAGAGTCTGATGGCAGAAACGGTGGGTCTGTGACCTTGTTTGATGTCTCCAGTGACGACCCGAGACAGCGTAATGGAAATCCCAGGCAGAAAAGCAGCAAACAAATCCCCGCATTGCTGTGCCTCATCCTCATCTAGGTGTGGATGCTCCTGGCAGTCACACTGCAGAACTAGGACCTGCAAGCACTTCAAAGCAGAGATCTTAACTTGCTTTGCCTTTTCGCGCTCTGCTAGGCCCAGAAGCAAAGACACAGCAAATCCTAGGAGAGGAAGGGTGGTGGGTTGGTACAGCGACAAGAGAACGTCCCCGTAAGCTGAATGCAGCAGGGTGTGCAGCGCCTGGATGACCGCCAGCTTCACCTCCTCCGAGCGCGAGCCCAGCTTGGCAGAGCCGGCGTGGGGGGAGAGGCACGCGCAGAGCTCGGCGAACAGCTCCCGCAGCAGCTCCTGCTTCCTCACGCACGTTGTGGCCAGCACGGCGGAAATGCACTGCACCGCGCTCTGCACCAGGCGCTCCTGCGTGCGCCCCGGCACCCGCAGCGCGAAGCGCAGGGGGAAGAGCACGTACTCCTGCAGCTCCTGCAGCGCCGAGGGGCTGACGGCGTCCAGCTGGGCCTGCAGCCGCGCCACGTTCGCCACCGTCTGCACCCTCATCAGCTGCACGCAGACGGGG